CAGCTTTCTAGTACAAAACTTTTAATTTTTGTACTAAAAAGTTGCTTTAAGTAGTAAGAAAAGAAAGCTTTAGGGCAGCTTTCTTCTTGCTTTTTAAAGCAACTTTTTAGTACATAAATTTCAATATAAAGCAGCTTTAAAAGGCAATAAGAAAGCTATCCTAAATGAAATCCAATACTTCATTTAGGACGGCTTTCTTCATGTTTATAAAGTAACTTTTTAGCATAAAAATATTCAATTACAAAATTATATTAAAAAGTTTTTAAAGCAACTTTTTAGTACATAAATTTCAATATAAAGCAGCTTTAAAAGGCAATAAGAAAGCTATCCTAAATGAAATCCAATACTTCATTTAGGACGGCTTTCTTCATGTTTATAAAGTAACTTTTTAGCATAAAAATATTCAATTACAAAATTATATTAAAAAGAAATAAAAATATTATCGCAAACAAAATCTACTTATTAGTAATGTTTATTTAAAAACCCAACATATTGTACGCTCAAATTCTCATCATAGGAGTTTGAATTTAGTTCAATAAATCCTTAGTCGCGAAGAAGTACTCGTGTAATGAACTCACTAAAAATTATTCATGAAATCACCTTCTTGTCAAGGCTATTCGCCCATAGAACTCAACTACTCATTTTAAGTATTCGCAATGCTCGCCCTTCACTTTCATTAGTGATTTAACTTACGTTAAAAAAGTTAGAGATATACCTAAAAAAGATTCTTTTAGCCGAATGAAAAGAAAATTTCACCCTTAACAGAACACAATAGAGAAAAAAAATTCCTTTACCAGACCCCACATAGTGGTATAAAATCTTAATGTTGTTGTCGTTATTCTCTTTCAATAAAATAAATGAATGTATTGCTTCCATTTGTCTTCATGACCGCTCGTAATTTCTTCAGAAAGTCGAAACCTCAAAACTCGCTACAACATTGATCGAAATTCAACCCGAATCAATCTCAATCCGACTTCAACCTCCACTCCAAATCCAAAACTTCACCCTACCCTTCTCCTCCATCAAGCCGGCCGGCCGGCCGGCCATGATCAGCTCAATTCTGTCATGCAAACCGCTCACTGGGAATTGAAGCTAACACACCAACCCAACCCCACAGCATCTATACAATATTTGCTAGCAAACAAATGACATAAAGCATACAAAATAGACAAAAAAAATCATCTTTAGACAAACAATTAGCCTAAACATATTTTGAATGATGTAAAGTCAAGCCAAACAGAAACAGCCTGAATTTTGACTAAGCAAAGCATTCCATTTGTAGTTATTTTATAAGCCAAACAGCCTTCCCCTTATCTTTATCTTCCCTCTACTGCACATTTGGTTTGCAGAATGGTTGTTTGCGCGTTCTTTTTGTTGAAGTTATCATTACAGAGCCGGCCTTCGCCAGCAGCTGCAGAAGAAACTTTCAAAGTAAATTAAGCCATTAGCTTCTATATAAGCCAGGCTAAGCTTTTTCAACTCCTACAGTACTCTCTTCTGCTTCCTCTTCACTAAAAAGAGCTTCTTTTAGGCTAGAAGGGTATTGAGAGGCTAAGTACAATGGCTCTAAAGCTAGCTCTGTTTATCGCCATGGCTACAGTTCCAGCTATAGTTGGGGCGAAAGACTTTATTGTTGGAGATGAAGAAGGCTGGAAAGTGGGAGTGAACTACACAGAGTGGGCTGAGGACAAGGACTTCAGAGTTGGGGACAGGATTGGTAAATAAATCTCACTCATTTCTCATATTTTGTTAGAACAATACATTGCTAAGATGATGAATGAAATATCAAAAGATATTATTTTGGTTGGAATGTTATGTGTGTGTGACTTGTAATTAATTATCACTAATTGATTTGTAAAATATTTATTATGAAAAAGATGACATTGAACACATAAATAATGCGTATTTGTATGATATATTATAAAATTGCATGATAAACATCCAACTTGCAAGAAAGCTGATCTCATTATACAATAATATCTCCTAATCAATTAGGTCAAGAGCACTTGCCAGATTTTTTTTTTTTAAATGTGTAACAAATTTGGCCCTTAATTTACAAACTTTAATTAGTTATGTCTCTAAGATCTACTGTAGGGGTGTCCATAAATAATTTGACTTGAAAAATTTGGGTTCAGGTTGACTCGTTTAATAAACAATTTGGATTTGAGTATGAAATTATGACCTGTTTAATTGGTAGGTTAGATTCAAGTTGACCTGCGAATTCACTTTTGACCTGATAGTAACCATTTAATATTTTTCCTTATTTTTTTTTACTTGGTGGTATGCCCTTCTTATTTTTTATCAATTAGCCTAAATATTATGATTGATAAATTATAATTTTTTATCTTTTTAATCAAAATGGATTATCAGGTCAAATTTGGGTAATCTAGGCTGCCAGTAAGGCTGTCAAAATCGGATCACGTGTCGGGTTTGGGTCCAACCGAAATTGACCCAACCCGTTTTTGCAAACGGGTCGATTTTCCGAACATGAATACGACCCGCTTCGGGTATTTTTACAAAATTTTTTTTATTTAAACTTAAATCAAATTAAGGTAAGATTTACTTCAATCAATTTAAAATAAATCAAGCTTAATTTAATATGGGGAACAATTTTTATTATTTTTTAGAAATCTCATTTACTTATTTCATAACAATCTTTTAAAACCCTCCTAAATTAATAAAAAATGGGTCAAACCGAGTTGATTTCGGGTTTTCGGGTCAACCTGACCCGAACCAATTTTACAAACGGGTCAAAATCCCTAACCCGGTTCGAGTTGACCCAAACCCAAAATTTTTGGGTCGGGTTCGGGTCAGGCCAAATATTGACACCCCTAGCTGCCAGTGGGTCAAGTTCAAGTTTATATTTTTAATCTAATAGTCGAATTCAAGTCAAATAGATTCATATTGGATTAATTTCGAGTCAGATCCAAACTCAACCCGTTAACCCATTCTGACACTTAATCTAATAGAGTTGATATTTTATGCTTGAAATCACACAATATTGCTTCAATTTTAATCAACATTAACTCAAGTGATTTGCTTCAACCATAGGCAACTACAAGCTTGTTTCTATATGTATATATATATATATCAAATGATTACTAAACTCATCTATATCATGATATTCTAACAAATATTTTTTCTATGAACTTATATGCGATAAAAATCAACTAATGAATCAAAATCATTTGAATCTTCTGGCAGTTTTTAACTACGTTAAAGGAAAACACAACGTACTTAAAGTTACCGGCCCAGCCTTCCGTTCCTGCAATAAAACAGTAAGCAGCCCGCTCACAACAGGAAATGATAAGATAGAACTTACTTCAGCTGGAAGAAAATGGTACATTTGTGCCATTGGCGACCACTGTGAGAAAGGAATGAAGCTTTTCATCGACGTTGAAGAAGCTGAGGTTCCTGCTCCTGCTCCTTCTCCAACAGGGGGGAAGGGGAACTCAGGAAACTCAGGAAACTCAATTTCTTCATTTACTTACTCATATTTGGTGGGATTAGCTGCTATATGGGCAATGGTGATTATGTTCTGATGAATACTTAATAGAATTTTGGAGCAGTTATTTGTATCCTGTTGAGATATTTGTGTGGATTAGAATGCATTTCTTTCTATATGTGATCGTTGGTGTGCTATTGTGTGATGGATGTACTTTTTTTTTTTAATTCTTAATGAAAAAAATCTCTTTTGCTTCCTATATTGGATCGCCTGTTATGTTTTATTATTATTGCTGTTGTTTTTGAGGGTCTACTAATGGTGATGGGAGACCTTCAGCTTTATACCTACGGGCTTTTATGAAGGAAATATCATGAAAAAAAAATATCATGAAAAATAATGAGACTGGCTGATCTGACCGTGACTCGGTCGGAGGGCGAATCCAATCATCTTGAAAATCAAGTTTGTATCAAACCAAATTGAACTGGCTAGGTGAGACAGTTCAACCGGTGAGCCGGTCCCACTTTTTATAAAATCAGCAGATTATTTAAATAATTAATTTAACAAATTTTATTATAAAATATAATATTAAACTTAATAAATTAATTTAAATTTAATCTAATATAACCAATGTTTTAAAACTGAACCAACCAGTTCAACTGATTGAACGGTAAATCGGCTGGTTCGGTTCATTAGAGACCGGGATAGTAGAAAACCGGTTGGCTCGGTAGTTGGACCGTGGAACCGGTGCCAATTTTCAAAAACCGCTCGGTTAAGTTAAAACAAAATCTAAATTGTGGGAAATAGATCATGCGGTATTTGAGGAGAAATTTAGGAAAGTAAAAACCTAATATTCCTATTCCTACCTCATCGTCTGCTCTTTGTTCGTGTGAATACCTATCTCGTTCCATTCATATCATCTCGACAGTCGGCATCCCTCTTTGTTCACGAACTCGACGAGGGGCTACAACCATGACAAAGGCATTATTTCCATCCGGCATCACACTCCTTTCTCCTATTTGCTTCAAATCCAAGCTGTAGGATGTAAGTTTTTGGAAACCCTAATTTTTCTAGGTTTTGTTTTTTTTTACTTTTTTTTTTTTTAATGTTTGACTTACCTCGCATGAATCCAAATTGATTTTGAAAAACATTAGTGTCACACCACAACCTATGCTCCATAACTCTCTCATAGATTTAAAATATGACACATTAACTTAATTCCTATATAACTCGCAAAATCTTTTTTATCACATTTTATCTTATCAATAGGAATCAACACACTCCTCCACTCATTTAGCCATTTTTTTAGTCTTCAAAATAATATTAAAAAGTTTAGTAAGCCAAGAAATTCATTCATCTCATAAGCCTTTTCCACACCTCTATTGGAATATCATCAGGTTCAACAGTTTTTCCACACTTCATTTTCTTTAAAGCCTAACTTTGGTTTTACTAATGTGCCGATAAAAATAAAAATCTTTATTTTCATTTAGGATGCTAAGATTACTAAAGTCAATCGCATTCTCACAATCTTCATTGAAAAGTTTAGCAAAATATCTCATCCACCTTTGTCGAATATCCTCTTCTAATAAAAACACTTTATGATCTTCATCCTTAATACACTACACTTGAATTAAATCTTTACTATTCTTATATATTTGTTTGGCTAACTTATAGTCTTATACATACATCTTTCACCCTCCTTAATATTTAATCTATCATATAAATCATTAAAAGCTAAAATCTTTTTATTGCATATTGCTTTCTTAGACTCTTACGAGCATCTTTATATCTTTCTTAATTATTATAATTATTACAGTTAAATCAATTTTTATAACAAATCATTTTATTTTTTATTTTATCTTGCACATTTTGATTACACCATCAACTATTTTTACTATATGTAGCTTTTCCCTTTGATACTTTAAGCACATCTTTCACAACATTCTTAATATTACTAGCTAATTTTTTCCACATAACAATAGCTTCCTCAGGCAAATACAAAATCTTAAGATTTAGAATTTTACTCTCAAAAATATTTTTTTAATATTCTTTAAATGCCCCCATTTAATCAACAATGATTTACTTTATTTTTTATTTTCTGCCCCTTCATCTTAAAGTCTAAAACAAATCAACGATGTTGGGTACATAAACTTTCACTAGGAATAACTTTACAATATTTGCAATTTAAACGATCTATTTTTTTATAAAAAAATAATCAATTTGAATTCCTAATATATGCAAAACCAAAAAACTATATAAACCATACAAAGTGAAACTTCCCAAATAATGCGGGATTAAATAGCTAAGTTGAAGTTTTCATATTTCTAACATATACACTACTTAATATTATGATAACAATTAACTTTTATATATTTAATTAAACACATGAATGATTTATATAATATAACTTTATAAAGTGACTTCTTAAATAATTTATATTTAATGATATATTTTTTAATAATATATAATAAAATAGATAAATAATTAACTATAATTAAGCAAAAAAATAAATATTATTCTCATTATTAAAAAAATAGTTTAAAGTCTATTTGAAAATATATAATGTATGTATTTTAAAGTAGAAATTTCATGGTTGAACTAGCCGAACTGGTCCGATTTTTGAAACCATGCATTTAACAGAAATTAGTAATAATTTATATTAAATTATATGGTTATATGTATATTAAATTGAATTGAAGATATTTAAATTTAAACTTACATAAGATATTGTGCATGAATTCTATTTATTTTTTAATCACAAGATTACATTATTAGTTTATTACACAATGATTACATCATTATTATATCATTTAAACATTATATAAAAAATGTTAATATTTATTAAATCATCTGATTCAACCTCCAGTTCAAACCCAGTCAAATCATTAAACCTTGAACTCTTTCTACTTTCGGTTCAATGTCCAGTCTGATTTTCACAACCTTGATGATAAACATCTGACCTTATGCTTTCCAAAATTTGTTGTTGTGCAATAACTAGCTAAAATATTAAGTGGTTGTTTGATAGTAAAATTTCTACATTATTTACATAGAATTTATGCTAAATCTCACACATAAATCCCCGACAATCTAAATCTTGAATTTAGATTATTTATGGGATTTAACAGAATTTTTCAGATCAGTTAGGAAAAAAATTCATAAGATTACCAAGAGGCTCACTTCTTGTTCGTCATTATCCTTCCTCCTCTCACCTCGATCTTCTTTCTTCCCCCACTCTCAAAAGAATCTTCTTTCATTGTCCTCTAACTACGATAGTCTATTGGGCTAGTGTTTTTCCTCCGCTCTTTGATTTTATCTTCCTATTCTGAAGTTGGAGTGTTTTTGTTTCCTCTTACCACCGAGATTACTAGATCTACTGTGTCAAGATACGCACGTCACTATTCCTTTTTATGATCATCGATAGCTGTTTAGATACTCAAAGTTTCTTCATTCCAGGCAAATCAACAACAGAGTTATTCAATCATTAAAAAGCTACATAGGACATAATTAGAGTTCAATTTCACTATCAGAATAGGAAAGTTCAAGTTGAACTAAGTTGTCCGTTCAAAGAGTAGCAGTACATTGAAAGAACAGCAAAATACTAATAAACTACAGCAGAATAACTAACATAACATACCAGAAGTTCAACCTAACAGTATCAGTCAAAAAATCAAAACAGCTTCTGCAAACCTTGAGTGGCAATAGCTGGGCAGGAAAATAGTACTGCCATGGTTATTAAACCAGGCTTGCAAATAAGCCAAGCTGATCGACTCGGTTTTAACTTAAGGTGAGCTTGAACTTGCACACTGGGCATGCTGGTTTTATCTTCAGCCATGTATCTATGCACTAAAAGCAAGAGAGATGAATCAATAATTTCATTCTAACAGTTTTACAGAAGGATAAGATCGAAAAAATAAAGTGTAGTAATGTACCATTTTATGAAATTTGTGCAAGCAGGGTAAATAACGCATTGTTTCACCAACAGCAGGGATTTCAAGGCATACAGCGCATGCTTCTTTAACGTTATTATTCTGCAGAAACCGGTTAGAGTCTCAAAGCAAAATCCAATTCAAAACTTGGTTATGCAGTAATCAGGGAACAATGAGAAACCTGAATCAAGATTAAAGGCAGGTTATTTATCACGGAAGAATAAACATGCTGATCATCGCTATCATCGCTATCATCACTGTCAAACTGCATCGCATTCTCAGTACTGCAGCAGAAAGGTTAACGTTATTGTCTAAAATTCCTCTCATATCTAATGAACTAAAATTATAAAGACAAGCATGGTTTCCCGCAATATTTTTAGCGCAAAATATTGCACAGTAGCCCAAGAACCATAGGTTGAACACTGAGGCTTTGTTTGGGACGGTTTTCTTTCTGCTTCTTAAAGCAACTTTCTAGTACCAAAATTAAAATTTTTGTACTAAAAAGCTACTTTAAGAAGCAGTAAAAAAGTCGTCAAAAGCAAAGCCTGAGTCTCTTTTGCTACTGAAAGGATATTTTTGCAGGAAATGCATAGTAGCATTCTCACAAAAGTAAATGATTGGCTTGCAGCAATAAAACAAAAATTAATGGTGATCAAATTTTCACAACAAGAAGTTTATTACCTTATTGCTACATTTATGATTGAATGGTGCATAATATTTTACCAACTTCGAATGATAAAATCCTTCTAAAATATATAGACCTTTAAGGGATAGAAGCTTATCTAAAATATTTTATTAATTGAAATGGATGACAAGATCATTTTAAGATAAAAGTAAGCCCGAGGACAGTTACAGTTCGGGACATAATGGCAGTTATAAATCAAATCTCATATATTGAGCCAGTGACTATTTATTTCATCAAGGATCAGCCTTAAAGCCCAATGTGATCCTTAAAGCCCAATGATGCTGGTGGCCCGCGTCGGCGGTAATCTATAGCAATGCAGCTTGCAACAACAACGATACAAAAAATTTCTAGTAAATTTGAAAATTGGTAAAATCTAATGATTTTTAAATACACCAAAATTAAACTAGATAGTAAATTATAAATATATAAAAAATTTACTCAAAATTTCTTTTACTTTAGACCAAACATAAATATTTTCAAAACCCCTATGCTTGGAATACTTTACACCTTTTTTTACTTTAAACAAAACAACCTCTTAATCATTACAAGACTTTTGGCTCTTTTTTATTCCACCAAATTTATTATAATCCATTTCAAAATAAAAATTATAAAACTTAATAATAAAAACTCCCAATATAAATAGACCCCATATTTATCAGTTTCTAATTAAGTATGAAGCTATGTATCTCATATATTTTGATTAAATGGAAGATAAAATATTGAATACACACCCATATATTTTATAAGGTACTTTTTATGTCCAAAAATATTCATCTATGTACTTCATGTGTGTAAGATTATATTTTTCTTTTAAGTACATGTTTATAAGAATACACAGGGTTTAGGATTTAGGATATAAAGTTTAGGGTGGAGGCATCCATTTCAGGTGGTTTCTTAAGGAAATTTATCAGAATAATGAACCATATATGGTTCAAATTTAGAAATTATGATGCATATATTAATTGCCTTTGTAATTTCTTTTTAAATAAGACATGGAGAACGGAGTTAATAAAAATGAGAAATTGCTTACTTATTAATGGAATGATTAGACGCAGGGTCATCATTCTCGCGCTCGTCTCTGTTTTCAAGTAAATCTTCCCATTCTTCATAAAGTTCAAATCTCTGCGTGTTAGAAAAGACATACAAATTAAGTCAGTAAATGCAAAAACCACCCACCTTCAACATGAGAATTCTTGTATTTTTCAAATAGTAACAGCACAAATAAATTTCTCAATCGTGACAATTTGAATCACAGTGAAATTTTGAAAAACTGCAAGCATAAAAGAGGTATGACAAAACAATAAATTAAGCAGAATCCTTCCGCAGATGTCAAGTATTATGTTAACCAATCCAGAACAACCATTAGTCTTGAAAAAGAATTATTGTTCTAAGGTTTCGTTTGGGACGGCTTTTTTACTGCTTCTTAAAGCAGCTTTCAAGTACAAAAATTTTAACTTTTGTACTAAAAAGATGTTTTAAAAAGTAGTATGAAAGCCATCCCAAATGAAACCTAAGATAATCAGGAAAAGCAGATCTCCATAGAAGCTGCAAGTGTCGAAGAACACAAGTACTACTTCAAAACAAATACTTTACTTCTTATAAAAGTTTGTTTATTTGAATGAGTCACCTTCTGTTTTGCAATAAATACTTGTCCATGAAAAACAAAGAAAGTTCTATACCAGGTTGGCCAATGCATAAAACATGGTGGCATGACTACTTCACAACAATTTCAGTAATGGAAATATTGCAATTCACACACGTACATCAACAACAACATAGAAGCTTGAACAGAAAATGAAGGCAAGCTTCACCAATTAAGAAGAATACAACCATAAAATGAATTTAGAATTTGCTCATATTCCATAAGCATGATGATTTTGGTTTACTTTAATGGTTATTAATCATCAACAAAGTATAAAATTGACTGTACATCCACTTAGATAAAGGGAAAATCATTTACCATTTCAAATCACCTACCTTTTGGAATCTTTTTATCGTCTCCCTTCAGGAGGCTTTTCTCCTCTATTGTCACTCAAATCTTTACAATTGTTTAACGGAAACAAATGTTTTCTTTCAAATGATCCTCCATTGAATTAGTATTAGAGCAAATTTTTTACATCAACATGTTTTGCAACTTGAAAAAAAAAAGCTGCATTTTTTCTAATTCAAGCTCAGCATAGTTCGCTCTTAAATGTCATGAAGAATCTAATTATTTTTTACTACAAATATTCAATTATTTAAAATATTTACTATCTAGTCAATCTTCCTTTCTTGGTACCACCTAGACAATTGATAGCATAGCAGCCATATATTTAACAACAACATCATCATCATCATCAACAAGCATTTGTCCCACTACATGAGGTCGGCTACATGAATCCTTTTTCGCCATTATGTCCTGTTAAAAGTCAATTTCTCATTTAAATCTAATAAAGAAAGATCATTTCTAATATTTTCTAACCAAGTCCTTTTAGGTCAACCTCTATCTTTCTTAAAATAAGTCAAATCTAATACCTTAACTTTTATAACTAGGTCATCGGAAGGCCTCCATTTAATGTGACCAAACCATCTAAAGCCACTCTCTCTAATCTTATCTTCCGCTGGAGCTACACCAACCTTTTCTCTAGAGCAGCCATATATTTAATGATAAATTTTAATTGGCTATACCGTAAACAAGCAATAATATCGCATTGCAGTAAACTCTATATAATCATTTGCTGACCTCTGATGATTTCATGCACGCAAACAGTTCGGTGATTATAGACTCAATTGTTTCCAAAGTGTATTAAAGTCGCCTAAGACAAAGAGCCATCAAATTTGAAAACACATGTTACTATAAAATTGAATACAATGTGAAGAATGACTTGGAAAGGATCCCATTCAAATCCACAAAGTGCACAATTTCAAAGGTAATAAAGCTAAATCTTTAAGCACTAAGAATCAATGCCAATCCTAAAATAGTTGCCTGTGCATGAGCATGTTCCCTTACATGGAAAATCACCTCAAAAAATTTAAAAATGACAGCTTGCAATTTTATGGATTTGGATACAATTGGATGAGCAGCAAGACAAGTTTTTATGAATTTTACTCAACCATCCGTGGACTTCATTGCCATTCATATTCACTTCTAATTGTTTGGGTGATGGAAGAATTCTAGAAAATTCATAGATTGAAATCTGTTGAATAAGTATCTATCAACAAAATGCGGGCTTACTTTTAAAAGACCATTGGACTTCCAACGGGCAAATCGTCAATAAAAAATGAGAGAAAGCTCAATAATGGCAATTGGCAAGCTATGGTTTCCTCCATCAAACTACTAATAAATTGCTGGTCTGACGGGAATCACTATTCATTACTTGTCTTTTGTGAGAATCTTGATCCAACTCGTACAAGCTCTTCAACTAAGCATCAAACAAGTTGGTAGAGGCACCAACGAATGATAGAGAGTTTGATTGAGTCACACATGAAATACTAAGTTCTCTCTATATATACAAAAAAATATTTGAGCCATTAAAGAGTATTAGCTGCTCTCACCTATTAAGGTCTCTCTGAAGCTCTCCTAGAGACCCTAGTTGTTAGTGCCATGTTCTCAACTCACAAATGAATGTTTCTATTTTTCTTGCATTCATTTAGAGCTAGCTTACTTTATATTGTGACAGTAAGCTTATATAGAGCTTTGTTAGCACTTTCCCTACGATGAGTTTGTGGCATTAGGTTATTACTAAAACATAAAAATGGAACATAGATCCATAATTCTGGTAAAGGCTCACAGGTTTCTTATTGATCATCAAAAAGGGAGGTGAGAGGTTGTTAGATTGGTCCACTGCACCTCCAGCCGGTCCATACAAGACCGGCCCGCGGGAACAAAGGCGGAACATTTCCGCCTCTCATGTACGCCCGATCGAGCCGCCAAAACCCACGGAGCAATTTAGGAAGGATCTTTTGGGGAGTTTAGGAGGGAAATTGAATGTAAGGATTGTTTAGAGATTTCCTTTTGAATTGTATACATTTTTTTTTTCTATTCAACTTTAAAGGAATTCAATTCCTTTTGAATTGTATACATTAAATAGTTTGTTTCTCCTAGGGTTAGGGCATCTTGAATTGGGCTGAAATTTAAAGTCTTTTAGGTTTAGGTTTTGGGCTCTAAATTCGTCTAGAGATTATGAGAGATTGATCCTCCTCTCGAATAGAGGATCACTTATATGTTGTTGTTTTCTTCCGTTAGTTGTTTTTCTCAATAAAAATTGCTGTTTTTCTTTGATTTTCCTCCATGTTGTGGAGTTTCTCATTGTTTTCGTCAATATTGATAGAATTTACATGAAATCTTCAAGTATTTTCTATCAAATTGGTACCAAAGCAAGTCTTGGGACCATTGGTCGGCTGATTTTGATGAATTTCAGCAGTTGGATTTTGGCAGGTGAAGAAGGAAGTTGCTGTTTTTTTTAAACCAAATCCAAATTTTTTGAATCTACAAAATTCAGAATAGAGATGGCAGCCAAGAAAATGAATGCGCTGGAAAAAAGACTTGAAGGGGAGATGAACAAAATCAAGACAACGGTGCAGGACAAGATTTCCTCCATGGAAGGTCAAGTAGCCGATCTCCGGGATATGATGAAGAAAATGTTAGAAATTCACAACCAAACGGCGACTTCAGTGGAAAAAGGGTTAAAAGGGAAGAACACGAATTATGAAATTCGTAGGGAGGAAGATGAGGTGGAGATCGTGGAGGGAGAAAGAAGAAAACCCTATATGGAGCCTTTCTAGAGGGAGGATAGAGAAGGTAGGTATGGGGAAAGGCATGGGTCTGGGGGCGGAGCAAAGGGGTGCTGAGGGAGATGCAGGAGAAGAGGGCGAAGGGACTATGCTTTAGATGTGAAGAGAAGTATACTCTAGGGCACAAGTGTAAGGATCAAACTCTTCAGGTTCTCACCGTCTGTGATGACGAGGACAATGAGGAGAGAGAGAGAGAGAGAGAGAGAGAGAGAGAGAGAGAGAGATGGAAGACAAGCTGCATCTGGACGTGATGGAGGTCTCCATGAATTCACTGGTGGGATTCACTTCGAATTATACCATGAATATGAAAAGGGAAATAACAGACAGGGAGGTGGTGGTGTTGATTGACATTGGGGCTATCCATAATTTCATCTCCAACTAGGTCATGGACCAATTGGGGGTGACATTGGTGGATACATGGTGTTATGGAGTGATGATGGATACAGGGAAGGTGGAGATGGGTCAGGGAATATGTAGGGGAGTAGTGCTTACCATAGAGTGGATTCAGGTGAAAGAGGATTTTCTCCCATTGGAGTTAGGTAGCGGGAGCACTAATGTCATCCTGGGGATGAAGTGGCTACAAACTTTGGGGGACACTGTTAGACCGGCCCAGGATGGGCCGGTTGGACCGGTCCAGCAGGGACCAGTCCGCGTCTACGCGAGACGCTCGCGAGAAGGCCGAACGGGCGGAAACGGCTCTGTCGTGAGCCGTGAAGTTTAGGAGGGAAATTTTGAACGTAAAAGGCTGTTTTAGGAAGTTTATGATTGTCCTTTATGATTAATTTTGTATAATTAGGAGTTTGGGGGGGAATTAGGGGATCATCTTGAATTTGAGTTTTCTCTTTGAGATCTAGGGTTTGCTTTGGGCTCTTGGCTTTGCCGGAGATCGTGGAGAGTTGTTCTTCCTCTCGGATTGAAGAACATATTGTATCTTTGCTGCTTTCTTTGATTTCTAGTGAAATACAAGCAATATCTGGTGTTTTTCTCCTGCTTTTCCCTATTTCCTGCTGCGTTTTCACCAAATTCCTGCTGTTTTGCTGCTGTGGACAGCAGTTGGCTGCTGTATATTTACTGGTTTGGGTTAGAAATACTTGAGAACTCAAGTATTTCCTATCAGACACCAAGGTCAACTGGGGAACATTGACGATGGAGCTGATGGTGGAAGGGAGAAGGGTAGTGATCAGGGGAGATACAAGGCTCACCAAATCCATGATATCACTTAAACCCAAGGTGAGAGGCCTACAGAAGGTGAGGGAAGGTTATCTTATGGAACAATATAGGCTGGAAGGGATCAGATTGAAGAAGGGCGGAGACGTTCCTCTTTCAATACAGTCATTGATCCAGCAGTTCAGTGAGGTTTCCCAGCCGCCTCAGAGGTAGCCTCCTCCACGGGAACACGAGCATGCTATCATCTTGAAGGAAGTAGTTTCACCTCGCAGTGTTCATCTGTATCATCATCCTCAAATCCAGAAGGATGATATCGAAAGATTGATTAGGGAGATGCTGGAAGTAGGGATCATTCAACTTAGTATCAATCTATTTTTCAATCCAGTGTTATTGATCAAGTGCTTTAGCAGCAGTTTCCTTAAATTCCACCTTGAGGACAAGGTGCCACTTTCGAAGGGTAGTATTGTTAGACCGGTACACTGGACCGATCCAGTCGGTCCATATGGGACTTGCCTGTGGGAACATATGTGGAACATTTCCACCTCCTGTATGCCCGACCGAGCTGCCAAAACCCACGGAACAACTTAGGAAGGATCTTTTGGAGAGTTTAGGAGGGAAATTGAAAGTAGGGATTGTTTAGAGATTTCATTTTGAATTGTATGCATTAAATAGTTTGTTTTCCTAGGGTTAGGGCATCTTGAATTGGGTTGAAATTGGAGGTCTCTTAAGTTTAGGTTTCGGGCTCTATATTCATCTAGAGATTGGGAGAGACAGATCCTCTCAAATAGAGGATCACTTGAATCTTGTTTTCTTCCGTTAGTTGCTTTTCTCAATAAAAATGGTTGTGTTCCTTTGATTTTCTTCAATATTGTGGAGTTTTCTAGCTATTTTCGTCAATATTAATAGAATTTACTTGAAATCTTCAAGTATTTCCTATCAGAGGTTTTTTACATTAGCTTGGAAAAGGCAAAATAGAAATTGAACTTTGAATTTTACATTTTTTTAAGGAAACTTTTCAAGGTGGAGAAATCCCGAGGAGTTTTGAGTGTAGGTATTGAATCAAAAACGATCAAAAACACGTTGCCATGCACTTTTTATTTCTAGGCAGCTACCTCCCTCAATTCCTACCATACCTTATGGCCTTTTCTATCTTGCTAACAAGATTTACACTCAACTTATTACACAAGCACAAGAAAAAAAATTGATTTGGTGAGTCTTTTAGCTGCAAAAAAGTTACCATTCACCAACTCTTCTGCATCAATGATGGAGACGATATAAAAGGCAGATATAATATAAATTTTCAAAAAATAATATAATGGAAATTCTAGCAGTTTTGTTCAGTGTTTTTTCACAAGCATTGCATATGCACATTTGATAGCAAGCGTACATAGAAGTTGGTATGCCAAACTCTGGTATGTCATAAAAAGTAGTTGTGAATGCATCATTATCATTAATGTTTACAAAACAACCATAAAATAACAATAATGACAAATACAGAGAATACTATATTCCTCTTGAAAAAATCCTCGTACAATGTTGTTATGTGTAGAAGGATCAAACAAGTGGTATTTTAGATATAAAACTGCATTAAAAGAAATATACATTAGTACCTTATCTAGATCCGCTTCAAACTGCAATTTACCCCTAATTTCATCAATGCGTTCCTGGTAATATAACAAATTTCAGAGAACAATACAAAAGGCAAAGAGTAAAAAGCTAAATTGACATCAAAGGAAAAATGGAAGAGGTTTTAGCATCTCTAGACACTGCTCCACATAATCAAAATTTCTTAAGTTTTGTAGTATATTAGGTTGTACCACAGCCACTCTCAAACAATGATGACGATTTGTTGCGTGAATACAAATGTGAAACTGAAGAGGCCCTCTAAGAAAAAGAAATCAACATGAAGTACAAGATTAATAAGTAATACTATACATACATACAATATACACTCCACATTTTTTTTTATGTGGAAAGAGATGCTTCTACACAATTTATTTTTTCTTTTTCAATTAGAAAATCAATACCATTCACCTTAAATTTCAACCTTATAACTAGAATGATGCCAAATTTCCTGAAATTTCAATATGAATTGATCATACATCCAACATACAAAAGGTCTAAATTATAAGAAAAATGATTCATTAATTTCTAATATGAACCATATAAACATTTTTTAGCATGTATAAAAGTGCATCTAGAACAATTTTAATGGATTTAATTTTGGAAGAAAAAAAATTAAGAGTAGAACTTTAGTGAGGGTGTTACAAGCCACCATTCTTTTAACAAATTTAGTCCCCCATAAAATTTCATCAAAATTCATCTATCTATCAATCTATATATAAATGAGAGAGAGAGAGACTCACACATTCTTCAAAAAGAAAAAGAGAGCTGAAAGGTTAGTTTCAAAAAGCCACATTAAGTACTCACAATTTTTGAAGAAAATCTAAAATAAGAGTTCAAAATAAGCATTAAGGAATCAAAATACACTAAGGGGTTGTTTGGTATGCAGAATTAGGAGGGTAAAGTAATTTACTTACACACATTTCATAAATTAAGTCGTTTGGTTGGTTTTGAGCGAAACCTAAGGAAGTCCTCCGAAGCATTAGCAGTGTATTGCAACGGGCCATTCGTGCGACTTCGAAACCTGCTCAAATTGAGCGGGTTACAAAACCTCTCGCGTTGTGAACTAGCCTCGCAAGAGGTTTTCGCAGAAGAGAGAGCTTATCGCTCGGATCTCTCCAAGGTTAAAACCAAGCCCCAAAGACCAATCTCGTCAGCATTGTCCCACTTCCCCTCACCATACCATCGAAGACTTTCTAGGGCTTGAAATCGATCGGATCTATTCTTTTCACCAATGGCTTCAGATGAAGGTAAGCAGATTACTCTGAAGAGCTCTGATGGCAAGGAATTCGTGGTGGATGGGGCAGTGGCGATGTTGTCGCAGACGATGCGGCATATGATTGAGGACGACTACGTGGAAAGCGGGATCCCTCTCCCAAACGTCAACAACAAGATCCTCGCCAAGGTGATAGAGTAATGCAAGAAGCATGTCGAGTGCGCCTCTGCGGCAGCATCTGCCGGCGAGGACAAAGCCATTGAGGAGGAGCTCAGGAGCTGGGACTCCGACTTCGTTAAGGTGGATCAAGCGACTTCTAATCTCCCATGCCCTCTCTCTCTCTCTCTCTCTCTCTGAGCTTACATCTCCTCGTTGCGTCAAAGTACGAACTTCTCTAATGGCTCTTTACGATCTGCGGAGCTGATGAATCCAGCGGAGATAAAAAAGAAAAGAGGCAAAGGCCGTAGAAAGATAGAAATAAAGCGTATAGAAGAAGAATAAAAACAACAAGTCTGCTTCTCAAAACGACATCAAGGTCTTTTTTAAAAGGCCAGTGAGCTTTCCACCGGCAAGCCTTACTTCTTGGCGAGCCTTCAGTCAACCATGTCCTTAACCACTTTCTAAATGTTGTTCCCAATCCATCGGACATGTTGTTGCCAGCAACTACAAACTGTTCTGAACAGATGAACCAAGATTAATAAGCTGGAGATTAGTCTTTTTGGTGGGATATTGACTCGCATTCAATGGGAGTTGATGAGTTGAGAGAGTATCAGGAGATTTTAAAAAGGCAACAATCTGTAGTTACCCAAGCAGCGCAACAGTGCTATTTTCAGGCTCCGGAAGCGGCGATGGAGCAAATTGAAGACCTGCCCCATACTTATCCGGAAGTTGGAGAAGATGACTATTTTATGTGCTGGCAGCAAGATTATGACTGTCTGGATATTGTTTCAATTTAAAGCTTATTTCTATTTTTCCTACTTCTGTTCGGTTAAGCAGTGCTGTAATTGTTTAGTGAATTGTGATAACTGTTTGTTGTCTTAGATATTTGTTTGTTTCACAACTTAGATGCATATGTACATTAGATCATTGTTTGGAGATAGTTAATAAAATCAAAATGGAAATATGTTCTCTAATGTGCAAGGATTTTTTTTTTAGTGTACAACATTATTCCATACATAAGAAGCAATTAAAAGTTTAAAGAGGCAGCTAAGAAAGATGAGAGCATAATTGACTGGTGATACAAAAAAATCCAATAGATTTGGAACCTAAATCACATCCATTGATGTCATCTATAAGAAGCAACCACAAATTCTGGTTCGAGCAATGTTCACAGAAACATGTTTCTCTTCAATTCCTTTCTTATTAGCCTTGATCATAGGATGAGATGCCAGAGCTCTAACATCCATATCACATCCATTGATCTCATCATATCCTTGATGCAGCCGTTGATGACTATACCAGACCACCCATTGTTGTGAGCTTGTTGAACCGGATTTCCACCTAATATGGCACATCACATGCTTCCACCACCATCAACAATTAAGATTTTGTCATTCCTTCCTTTTCAAGAAACTCACGCACAAGAACATTGTCCTCAAAAACCTTAAGAGTCACAACTTTACCAGAGAAAGCCTATCTCCTTCCATCAATTTGGAAGGTTGGATGAAGTGCACGAAGTTCACTATTCAAGATCAGGTGTGAATTTGCATCACATAATTCTCCTGCTTTTATTTTGCAGACAACCAAACAGGCTTAAAGTATTCGGAATGCACTACATTTACTTTACACTGCATTTTCTTTTCAGGCAACCAAATAGCCCCTAAAAGAACAAAAAAATCATTGCTAGAATGCATTTTTATGCTGTGTCACTAAAACAGTAAAACTAGAATGCATTTTTATCAGGCTAGATAATGAGTTTCCATTTCTTTAATATTTATAACTAATCCATAGTATTTGATTCGATTATAAACTTCTGTAAAGCAAAACTTAAGATCGGAATGCATGACACAATAATGGAGATATTCAATGAAGCGATTACACATCTAAAAGGCTATCAGAATGAGTTGTGCGCAATACGATACACTACAACAATCTATGACACAAAGTTAAACACGCCATTGGTACGAGATCGAAAAATTCACACCCCAATTCTATTGAGAATGTAAAATCAAGCAATGATTTTCAATTGAATAATGCTGCATTTCCACTCCTATTAATTATGATGTGCCAAATTTGATGAAAACCAACAAGTGAAAAAAGGCACGCAATCCACCACAACAATAGACAATTAACACATATACAAAACTATTGTGATAAATATAACTAATTATAGGATCAAACTTCAAAATAGTCTCCAAACTATTTGTATAGTGCCCCTAACTATTTGTACATGACCAATTTAGTCCTAAAGCATCTCCAACTTAGTTCCTCGACCATACAAGATTAATCCAAATGGTCTCTTTGGGACTAAAATGGGATCAATTCTGTACAGCCAAGGGACTAAATTAGAATCAAATTTATATCATAATTATAACATAAGGAATTATTTGGGATCAATTTTATATAATCTAGGGATTAGATTAGAGCAACATGATACTCTAGGACTAAATTGGTCACACACAAATAGTCATGAGAATATTGTAAAATTTTTTGTGATAAATATTATCAATTAATGGCTTTCAACGAATATCTATCAATTATAATTTAACAATGCGCAGTGTTGTGCTTAGACGGCCTGGGATAAGTTAATGCACTAAATAAAGTTTTTAGAAACCACCTTCATTTTAGATGGTTTAATCCCAGCAAGCAAAGAGCACAATCAAAATGAATAATTGAAAACTGTATTGTTCTGGGAACCCTGGAGTTTTACTTTCCCATTGATAGTAAGACATTGGGTGTAAAGGAGAGAGAAATATTTTCTTCTGGGAGAAGATAATAACAATTGAGAAGCAACAAAAAAGAAACTTCACAAGAGGTAAAGAACTAAAAACGGGTTTTGAGAGTACATATCAAAGAAGAAAAAGGCATATGCTGTCAGCAGTGCAAAAGGCTAGGTTCAGAGAGAGATAGATACATGCAGTGACTTTTACACAGAAGAACAACTAATTATTTTAAAAAAGGAATTCAAAGGAGAAAGAAGGGAAATGTTCTTCTCATATTTTATGACTCGTGTTAAGGAAAAGAAAGATATGATTACAACAACATCAAGCCTTTATCCCACTATGTGGGGTTGGCTACATGAATTATTTTTCTCCATTGTGTCCTGTTTAGAGTCAAATTCCCATTTAAATCTAATAAACAAAGGATATTTATATATTTTCTAACAAAGTCTTTTTAGTTCTACCTCTAATTTTTTTAACATAAGTCAAATCTAATACATCTACTCTCATAACCGGGTCATCGGAAGGCCAACATTTTATGTAACAAAACCATCAAAGCCGACTCTATCTAATCTTATCTACCACTGGAGCTACTGCAACCTTTTCACATATATGATTGTTTCGTATCATGTCTCTAAGTGTAAGCCACTCATCCACCTGAGCATCCCCGTCTCTACAACACTTAACTTAATATTATACTTCTCTTTTAATAGCCAACATTATGCACCATAAATCATTACAAGTCTCACGACCATCTTATAAAATTTTCCTTAAGTTTGAGGGATACTTTTCTATCACACAATAAGCCCGATGCATTCCTCCACTTCAACCATCCAACTTGAATTCTACTAATAATATCCCCATCTATTTCACCATCACTCTGAATAATAGACCCAAGATATCAAAAACGTGTACTCTTCTTAATGACTTGATTGCCCAAGTCACA